GAGACTACGAAGGACATAAGAGTGCTGGAAATGTAAGGACAAAGTACACTGTTAGCATTTTGACTTGCTAATCCTCAAACTGCTTATCTTAGACTCACTTATGTTTTTCTCTTCTATTTTAGATATTCGGTCTCGAGAGTGATCATGTTACCAGGAAGGAATGAGCACCAGTTTTGTTAATGGCAAAGGTATCGAAAGGGCAAGTAGAATTTCAAACATATTGAAAGTATTGCTATCAGTATTCAGGGTAGTAGATTCTTGGTTAATTTCCACCTATGTCGTCAAATGCCTTTTAAAGAAAGCACTGGTTTTCCATGACCAATCCCAACCTGTATCTTCACAGGGCACTGAAGTAGACAGTAGACAGAGAGTAGACAGACTATATAATGCACATTTACAATCTAGATTTAGTTTTACATACAAAATAACACTGATCCCACTCAACACAAGCCGTGAAACAAAACCTTGTAACATCCATTAAAATACTTGGACCAGTTTCAAGATAAACAATCACACAGGTTGAAGATACAATCTTTTCATTTAGCATCGCATCTCAGGATGCAGTTTCTCCTCAATGCTTCAGATAATGGAATCCATTCACAAAATAATGTTTGCAAAGATACCGAGGTAGCTCTGATCATTGCAAACATGATATAGTAGCTAGCTAATCAATAGGAATAGCCTGCAGTAAGGAAGGAGAGTGGCTATACAAGCTAGGCCGTGAGCTGATTGTACATTAATCTGTATCAACACAGAGTCTTGTCTTCCTGCAGCCTGGGACAGGAAGAGCTTTGCACAGTCAATCCAATTGTTGGATTATAAGCATTACTTCTGTATGAAAGATCAAAGCCTGTTTACAATGAGACCCTCCAGGAGTGGAGTTGAGGAAACCACCCACAAGTACCATGGTTATTGGGTATTGACCTAACATTCAATCAGAAACGTTTCCACGACCAGAATTAATAAGTGCTGGAAATAGGGTGGACAGGCTTTATCCGCGGTCAGCAGGAAGACGTTTAATTAGCAATACATTCTGTACGATTGTGAGAATTGGTGTCATACTGAGAGCAATTCACTTAGTAGCTCACCAGTCAGAACTCTCGCCATACGTCATCACTGACCCAGTTGGTCAAACCTTTTACCAAACTCCATTACCAAAAGGTCAAAGGAAGTCTTGGAATCTGTACAAATAAAGAGCATCCGATGAGATCAGGAGGCAAGACCATCTCCCACCACTAATGTCAATATGGTATCATTTATTATCAAGGGCAAACATATTGGGGTTCATATTTTTCATACGATGCCCTAGGGCAAAATATCACTTTATCATGGTGACGTGACATCATGAACAATGCTATGATGTCACCTTTCTTCTGTGACGCTGCGGTCTACATTCAGAGACGGTGGGTAGCTAGCCCATGTTTGAAAGTAGATTTGGGTTTATTTCCTCAATTTGACAACTTTGGTAATAAACAGAATATTATATTCGAGCCCATGTCAAACTATGTTCAGGACACTTGTGCCTAAATATCGTTATATCCCTTGCTCTCGCTCGGGAAATACCAACATTTAGGTACTCGTGTCGTAAACATAGTATGACATGGGCACTCATATATAATATCCTCTATATATGGAAACATAAGCATCTTAATGCATGTACAAACACCTACATGTCCTAGTTGTGGGTACAGCAACATGGTGACCATGTGTCCCAGTCCACCCAGCTGTGAATGGGTACCTCGAAAGGATGGGAAGGTCACATTAACTTTAGGCAGCATGAGTTGTATGTCCCTAGGGAGTTGAGTTTGACACCATACAATGTGCCGTTGAGATTGACATCCAATGATCGAGGGAAAAACATAGCACTTTGAGCATGCATGTACATGGGATGTACTATGGTGCTATATACATTTTTGTATATACCCATATAATAATAATATAATAATAATGTCCGTGTGTGAAATATGCATTATGCCGGAAAGCACATGTTAATCTCCAAATCATTATCATAATCATCATCACATGCATATGACTTTTTATTACTCGCCCGTGGAAGATACTGCAGTGTAATATTTTTATGGCGATATTACACTAGTGTAACACCGCTAGACGTATGACGTTATAATGGTTTACAGTTATGACGTCACAATGCTAATACCTCTGTCACAAAGGTTAGACCTTGCTTGACTCGTGGAAAGCTGAAAGTCTATACACTTCGTAGGCAGTTTTTATCAGTTTATGTTGGGGAGTAATAAACAGAATACTAAACTTGCTTCCGTGAAATACCATTTTAATCAAACTCGTGAAAGATTTAGCATGACAAATCATAAAAATGGTATTACGCGGGAGGTCGTTTAGTATCCTCTATCTATAACATTGTAAGACATGACAGTGGTCAGACTGAGTGACTTGGTAGACTGTGTGTCATTCTAAACAATATCAGTCACTGGTTTGTCTGGTCGTGACTCAGTCTACCCACAGCTCACTGTCATATAGCTCGTATTATGGCAGGTGTGGTGATAACAACAAACAGAACAATTACATGAAGATGACTTGACAGATTGTGTGTCATGGTGCACAATATCCATCACACGAGGGTCTGGTCCTGACTTGATTATTCAGTGAGTGCCGCTTTTAGCAACATTCCAGCAATATCAAGATGGGGGGACACCAGAAATGGGTTTCTCACACTGTACCCATGTGGGGAATCAAACCCAGTTTTTCAGCGTGACAATCGAACGCTTTAACCACTAGGTTACCTACCCCACTGGTTGATGGCAATGACCTACTTGCATGAATGGATGATCATGATGTTCAATAGTTTGTATGGTCCTGGGTTTATTAATGAATAAAACAATTAATAAATAATGACATATTGGCCAAAGTGCAAGAAAGAATAGTAACTATTTTTTCAATAATATAAGACATATGTCCCTCAATGTTCAAGTTAAATATCATGAAGCTTGCCAACTTAAATGAATAATTCATTTTGTTCGTACATTACTGATTCACCAGTGAGGTGTATTACAAGCATCTCCACTGACCTTGTACTTGTACACCATGATGCAGATATGTTGACTCCAACAACAGTATCTAGGACATATCAAATATCTATGGTGACCTCAGTCCCTCACACCGGTCAATAATCACCTCAACGATTAACTCTGACAGATGCTTTCAGTTATTAGCAAGCTTTGCGATCTATCACAAAGAACAACAAAGAATGCTGTGTGGTTTATTTAGTTACAAAACATTGTTCTATTATGCTGTCATTTCTGGAGATTTGAATGTATGCTTGCAATGTCATGTCTCCGTGAATTAGATGATGCTTCTCTTGAAAGGGAATTGAGAATTGTTGCACTTAGTATTGTATTCCCAACTGTTGACTGTCGGAAATGTTACACGTCACCATTTTCTGAATGTCTTCATGAATTACTTTTGTGAATAAAAAATAAATACTCATTTCTTATTATTCTGATCTTTTAAAAACATTCAGAAAAATACCAGATCTTAAACCCCTGTTTATAACACAGACTTGTTGGACATTGTCCAGGACAGATCCTACACGGGAGTCATCAAATATGTTTAAAGCTTTTATATTTCAATAAGATCTTTAAAGTAGACGTACATAATGTTCATATCTGATATATGAAATATAAGAGTTGTGGTCATTTACCTTACAATCTTGAAATAAACCACTGCAGGTGCACCGCTCATGGTTTAATGGACTGCAGAGTTTTATTGCATGATGAACAACACACCCTTATTCTCTGAACTATACACACATAGACGTGCTAAGATATCTCACTTTAGGTGTCACTGGTACAGAACATAAATACATACTACATGACAGCTGCCATAGTGAGTGAGTGAGGTGAGTGAGTGAGTGGTGATGAGAGTGAGTGGGTGGGTAGTGAGTGAGTGAGTGAGTGAGAGTGAGTGAGTGAGTTTAGTTTTACGCTGCCCTCAGCTATATTCCAGCTATATGGAGTCTGTCTGTAAATAATCGAGTCTGGACCAGGCAATCCAGTGATGAACAGCATGAGCATCGATCTACGTAATTGGGATATGATGACATGTATGAACCAAGTGAGCGAGCCTGAACACCCGATCCCGTTAGTCGCCTCTTACAACAAACATGGATTACTGAAGATCATTTCTAACCCGTATCTCCACGGGACGCTGCCATAAGACATGCAACAACATGGTGAGGCAGTGATAAATACGTATCCCCAAAATATGAGTGAGATAGGATTTGCATGAGATACAGTATTTCTATGTTATAAGTTCATACCCTCTTCCTTTTTGAAGGTGAATCACGAACCTGAATCATGTCATTCAGACAGCAAAGGTGGGATATTGTCAGTGAGAACCGTTTCTGTTATTAACCACATATTCTAGGATCAATATAACTTATAATGCATAATATGTATTTGTATACAGGAGTTGTAAATTGATATATTGTATTGTGATCCTTGAATTGCAATACAATCCTGTATTGACAAATCTTTACACTACAAGCTGGTATCCTATTCTAGACTGTAGTCTCCCTGGCTAAAAACCTAGTTGGGAACTCAGTTCGGGCAGCTGACACTTAAAATGAGTTTGAGATTAGTTATTTGGAACTCAAGGTTTATTATGCAAGCAATGATTAACCTTGTTACACACAGACTGCACAATTTCCAACGTCACATCCTGGTTTGGTTTGTTGTTTTACGCCGCACTCAGCAATATTCCAGCTATATGGAGGCGGTCCGTAAATAACTGAGTCTGGACCATACAATCCAATGATCAACAGTATGAGCATCAATCTACACAAATGGGATACGATGACACGTGTCTACCAAGTCAACGAGCTTGACCACCCATTCCCTTAGTCGCCTCTTATGACAAGCATAAGTTACTGAAGGTCAATATTATTACGGGTATGTCACATCCTGGACCACAGGCAACCATTCTTCAACCGCCAGGAGAAATAATTAAAAGATACCAAAACTGACCTTCTCTATGAAACTTCTTCTTGACAAAAACAGCTATAGTTTCATTACTGTGTAAGTCTGTGTCATTATCTTCGTAATCATATGTCATGTTGCCATAGAGATCATAATCTGTAGAATTGCCGTACAAATCATAATCTGTGGAATTGCCATTCCCCGAGGTGTTCTGCTTATCCTCAGCCCCTGCAACCACTAGGGCGGCCTCCTCTTCACCAAAGTAGTCCACATCCTCGTCGTTGGTGATGGTACTGTTTGTCTCAGAACCATTTGTAGCATTACTTTGTAAGTCATCTAACAGAGTTGTATCCGTGCCAACAGTGGTGAAATTGTGTTCACCTTCCTCCCAACTGTCCGACACCCCAACATCACTTGTTTCTTCCAGAGGTCCCTCAGTGCTGGGATGAGCCGTAGTTTTAAGTTCAGAAGTCCTGGCCTCATCGGACCAGTGCAGCCCGAAGCACAGGAGCAGCACAGCCAACACCTTCTTCAACATGCCCACAATGTCTCAAACTCCATAACTCGCAGAATAGTTCTCCCCTTGTCCAAACTCCATAACTTGCGAAAAGTTCTCTCGCTAATCACCACGTCCTGGCATTATTAACAATTACGCCACAAATATGCCTCCCTGATGTAATTGCGAAAATGAGGCCATTACTTGGTATGTTAATAGAGGCAATTGTTTAAATGGTCCACCAAGAGAGGGAAAGTTGAGATGATTGGGCAATACCAACAGTCGCAAGGGGGTAATTACTGAAGGGAATTGGACCTTCTTAATACACGTGGGCGGAGGTCATAAATGTTTTCATTTTAGTTCATTTATCATATTAAGCTCTGTTTGCATTAATGCTATTTCATTAACAAAATCCTCAACAGACTAGAAGAGACACTTTTCAGTTTTGTCCACAAGTCCAAAGCTGAAATGTCAGAGTATTTAGCTCACCATAATGTTTCCCTCATAGTTATTCATACACTCATGTGTTTTAGTTGTCATGAATACAGCATTTGATGGTCTTCGGGGAATAAGTAACAAGCAGGCAGAAAGCCATTGGTAGTGTTCGTTTGTTGCTTGACGCTGCACTCGGTCATATTCTTGCTATATGATGGCAGTCTGTAAATATTCAAGTCTGGACCAGTCCACCCTGTGACTGACATCATGAGCATAGACCCAGATGATGGGTGCAGAGATGTTGACCAAGTAAACAAGCCTGACCAAACAGTTCCTTTAGTCAGCTCTTATGGCAAGCATGGGCTGCTGAATACCAATTCTAACCTGGACCTTAACAGCAGTGAGTAAGTTGGGTTTTTGATGCTTTTAGCAATATTCCAGCAATATCACGGCAGGGGACACTCATGGGCTTCACACATTGTATCAATGTGGGAAACAAACCTGAATCCTCGGTGTGATAAGCGAATGCATGACCACAAGGCTTATCCACCGCCTTGCCTTAACAGGAAGAGTGAGTGAGTAAGTTTGGTTTAATGCCGCTTTTAGCAATATTATAGCAATATCACGGCGGGGAACACCAGAAATGGGCTTCACATATTGTACCTATGTAGGGAATCAAACCCGGGTCTTCGGTGAACGCTTGAACCCCACCGCCCCCTTAACAGGAAGAAAGGTAGTGATGAGTTATGGTAATTGTTTATGATTAATATATCAGAAGGAAAAAGAAAATCATTAGCATTGTAACATCTACAATAAGTCCAAACATGACCTTCTACCAGTCATCTTATGCTACAAGACATGGTACCAATGACATACATGATTCTTCTCCCTTGGTAAAGGTCCAGCCTCATCCTGCACCACAGGAACTGGGTGTGTGTTAGACCCAGCATCTGAACATCAGTATAAACATTGATGATCTCCCAATGGTAATTTCCCCTGGCCGTCACACTGGGGATGTTCGGGCAGGGACAACTGACTGGTGGTAAGGTGAAAGGGGTTAACGTCGCGATCAAAGATGATAGCACTTGTATAGCTCGGTGCATGCATGTGTAGTAGCTGCTTGCCCCAGTCTGCTTGTCCCAGTCCAGGCTAATGTCCATTTTATAGTAAAAGCCTGCTGAGATACTGCCACAGTTTATTGTGGATACTCTTCTCAGACACAGTGTATTGACTCTGAGCCAACCAGCCCCTGCTATATCCCTGATGGTGAACTCAAGGCAGGGAAACAAGTACATTTGGTCTGAACTTGTCCAGACTAATATCCATTTTATTGTGGAAAGCTAATAAAATAACATAATACAGTTTATTGTTGATACTCTTTCCCCACCCAGTGTACTGACCGAGAGCCTTCCAGGTGCCGCACAGGGTAACATGTACAATCTTTGTCTGTAGGTGTGACGTATCGGGGATTGAACCACTAACCATTCACTCTCCAGGAGGCTACGTGTACAGTAAACTAAACTCAAAGGGACCACTAGTTTAGTTTGATATAACCACAGTTCATTACACTCATTTTGACTAAAGCATACAAGTGAGTGATTTAGTGAGTGATTGAGTTTTTAGTTATACGTCGCTATTAGCTATAATCCAGCAACATCTTGACGCGGGACACCAGAAATGGGCTTCACACATTGTACCCACATGGGGAATCGAACCTGGGTCTTCAGCATTATGAGCAAACGCTTTAACCACTTGGCTACCCCGCTGCCCCTAAAGCATACAAGCACCTGAGAGGGGCGGTGGGGTAGCCTAATGGTTAAAGCGTTGGCTCGTCACACCGAAGACCTGGGTTCGAATCCCCACATGGGCACAATGTGTGAAGCCCATTTCTGGTGTCCCCCGCCGTGATGTTGCTGGAATATTGCTAAAAGCGGCGTAAAACCAAACTCAGTCAGTCAGTCAGTACAAGCACCTGATACTAAAACTGTTTGTTACATCCGTCAGTTTGTTATAGGTGTGTCCATTATAATCATAGTTTACCGTATAACGAATGTGGAGCTGTGAGAAGAGCATTAGCAGCCATAAGTCTGCAGGTGAGCTTCAGTAATATGGTCATCGAGCCCCCTGGACCATCATCCCCGATGGGCTGCTGGCAACAGTGTGCCTCTGGAGAATCCCAGCTACTAAAGACACATCAATCAACCCTACAGACAGCTTGGGAGCTCTGAGTATACGCATTTTCAATACTCATCCAGTTACTTGGAATAGTGTCAAGAATTCCACCCACCATTAGCCGATGAATAAAGTTTATAATCCATTGATCTTTACCTAGATGACACTGTATATATATATTATCACTGTTACTACAACCAGGAAAGTATTTACTCATGTGCAGTAACTGAAACGAAGCCATTCGCAACAATTTCAGAATGAACGGAAACTGTCCACGTGGAAAGAAATGTCAGAATCACTTCAGGATCGGGAAGAAACTAGGCCAGATACAGTACGGCTTTGAAACTGAGAACACCTTGTGTAATCACCCTACCTGGGTTAATAACAATGTCATGGAAACCTGTGGGTTAACAATATCACTTTAAGCTTGGGAATTCCATTTTTTGAAACAGAATATCCTCTACTAACAGTTACCAAGTAACAAAGTGATATTCAGTTAGTTTAATGACATCACTTCCTGTTTGTGAAGAATGTATCTTTGTCTAAATAAATGTCATCCTGCAATTCAATACATATCAGGTAGAAATACTGAAGAACAACCAGTTGATATGAAACATATTTCTTTTCAACTTCCACTGGATTAATAATGCATTATCTCCTCTTGTAACCATGACAACGCTAAGATTTACAAGGAACAAGGCTGGGGTTTACTGATGCAATGATATGGCAATTGTATTGTATACAATATAAAGCTCAGGATACAATACATCGATTAACTCTGTATTGCTCTAGATATGAATCATCACATCACAAGATATATTGATGTGAAAACGTGAACAATAACAGAAACCGTTCAAGAGTCAGTGAGTGAATTACGTTTTTATGCCGTTTTAGCAATATTCCTGCAATATCACAGATGGGGACACCAGAAATGGGCTTCACACATTGTACCCATGTGGGGAATCGAACCCAGGTCTTCAGCGTGATGAGTGAACACTTTAACCATTAGGCTACTCCACTGCCCCTAAACTGTTCAAGAACCAGTGAATGTAGATTCTGTATTTTTCCCTTACTTGGTGATAAAAAGCAGAATCTGCACAGAAGCCCCTTAACTCAAATGTTTCTCCCCTACAATATCCTATCCTTTTTCTTCCTGAAATTTAAAAATGGGTGTGATTTCTGTGAAAAGGGAGAGAACATGAAGTAATGAAGTACAGTCGAACCCCAATGTCTCGAACTCGGTTGACACGTATTCTCGGTTGTGTCAAACTCCTCTCTAGGTCCCTGCATATTTCCTTATATTTATCATTATTTCTATACTGACGGATGTGTCGAACACTCGGTTAAGTCGAACTGTTCCCTTGGTCCCGACGAGTTGAACACAACAGGGTTTGACTGTATCAGAATGCGAATTGTATATCACCCTTGTTATCGGGTTATACATGGTAATGCTGTCAAGAAAAATAATAATAATTAATTTTCCTCGCTCAAAAAATATAATCCGTATGTTTTTATAAGCCAAAAATGTGAACTTACCCCAAAAAATTTGTTGATTGTTTTTTGCCCCATATAAACTTCATAAATTGCCAAAATTAATTACTTTAAAAGGAAAATTATTTTGACTAGTGATTTTTATTTTTTCCCGTCCTGACTTAGGTTTTCTGAGGACAAAAATCCATAAAACAAGAAATAAAATTGGTCTGGCCTAAGCTTAAAATTTACATTGCAAAAAGTCAGTTAAGTGCCAGTTTGTTATAACAACATAGTGGGTTTTACAGATGCATTTTAACAAGGAATCACTGAAGTACATTCAGTACATTCTGATCGGAGCCATACATACATCGGCCTCATTATGCATGTACCACTCATTATGGGTGGAACTTATCACCTGGGATTCATCGACTTCTTGATGACTTCCTCCAGACAGAATCATTATCTCTTTACCTCACACCTCAACTACAGTGGATCGAAGGAAAACCAGTGCTAGATATTTTCTTTAAGAACCACCCAATTACACTACTACATGACGCAGATGTTTGACACAAGTTTGTACAAATTTAACATTCAAAATTTGTTATAGATGCGTGGCCCATTTGACATTTCAAGGGAATATGCTTTTCATAAACCGTTGGTGTTACCAAATTTTCAGTGATCCAATGGAAGCTATTTCAGCAGATTATCGGAACTGGTCATTGTCTGGCGAAGATGTTTCATATTTTACAACCAGCAGCCCTGTTAAAATCCCATATCCATGCTGATACACAAACAAATTCCATACCATCCACCAAGTGATCCGTAAAATGAATATTAAAATGTCCTGAAGACATTGCAACATGTAAATTAGCAAGTCTCTGTGTTGTTAGGACTAATTGAAATTCAAATGAAGTCAACAGGCAAACAACAACAAAAGAATATGAAAGGTATTTGCATTACATGCAAGAACAGAAACAGGCCAATCACGTTTATTGAATGCCTCCACAGAAATATGTATCATGAACCATTTGAGTGAATGAATCAGGCTGTAGCTGATCTC